AATGTTTTTTGATTATTCAGATACATTCTCGCGTTTTAAATTGTATTTAGTATGAATAAAATTGTTTAAAATAAATTTTTCATTAATAGAGTAGAGTTTTTGTACAAACGAGTAAGTTGCATCTCAACAATTTAAATTATTGAGGATCAATATTATAACTTCAATTTGTAATTTCTTTGTAATCTCTTTGATAAGCACGATTCTGTGAAATTCTTATCTCTGATTAAAAACGGTTATTGGTGAAGTGTGAAAGTAAAAAACTCAAAAGCACGATGAATCATGAGGCTAACGTGAATTATGAGGATCGCATTAAAGTAAGTTAATATTTATTATAACATATAAAATTCATTTTTGCCAAATATTATCAGATAACCACAACTATGTATATTTAGTTCACAATCGCTCTAATGACAAAAGACTACGTAAAGGCTTGCGACATTGGAGATCGATGTAAGGATCAATATTATTGTACTTTTTTGTATATAAGAAAAATTATTCAATTAAAAGTGTAAATAGAAAAAGCAAATCACTAAAATATAATTTTTATTATTAACAGTATTGAAGCAAAACCAGAACGACGTGAATATTAGTCGCGCTCTTAGTATTCTGAAGCGCAAAAGTTGCCTTGGTATTTTTCTCATTTTGTATTCCATTTCATTCAAATATGTTCTCTACCGTTCCACTTTGTGTTAACAGCTCCAGAAGAATACGAAAGGTCGAGTTTAATTGAATCTGTCTGTGAACATGAGGGAAGTGACGTAACCGATACCGGCGACGATACTGATTTTATAGACGGCGATGCAGATATTCGTATCGATCCAATGGTGGCAAATGATACCGTGTCACGTGATACATCTCGATTGAATAACGACAAAGGCAAGAGTCGTTTCGATCTCAAGCAGAAAATGCACAGAGTAATACCAATAAAGGTGAATAAACAAGTTAAGCAAATAACCGCAAAGGGTTTCACGAGCTGTTAAGAAATCAGTCTTATATACTGTTTTATATATTAGAAATTTAATTACAAAATAAGCACGTGAAACACGCGTATAAAAACATAAACAGTATAAAATATAAATATAAAATAGAAATGTGAATAAGGAGCAAGAAACAGGATATTTTACTGAAATACATTTTATTAATAAAAAAACAACTATTTGTTAAAGTTTTTACAACATAAATGGAAAACAGCATCATTCGGTGCACATTCGACGCGCAGGCGTAATGTTCATCATTTGTCACACCCGACGGACTAAATTTTTCCGTTTTTTTTTTTTCCTTACAGAGATTACCGTCGCGTGGAAGTACACTGTGAGTGTTTTTAATGTTGTTTGGTCATCGCGAATGAACCGGTCTTTTCAGCGTCGCGGGGGTTTCCACGAGATTTACTTTCTCTCTTTTTAACTTTTTTCTTCCATTCACTATAATCCAACTCGAAATCTCGTCAAATTTCCCCCGTTGCGCTTACAGCGCTCTCGTACACTATTATTTATATTACAACATGCGTATACCTTCCGAGTAACAAAATATAAATTTACGTACGTATAGTTATATTAATATACAAGCACACAGTTTCTCTCACGTACGCACCGTCGATCGTATGAATTAATAAAAAGAAGGGGATGGGGAGTGGGGGAGGGGGAGAGGGGGCGATGATGGTGGATGTTGGGCTGGGCCTTAATGTTCTATTAAATTACAAAAAAAAAAAGTACAACCTCACGTAAAAGTCTTTTTAATCATTGAACACGCATCGAATTTCACTTTGAAAGGACGGGTCCCATTTCGTTCTTTTTTTTTTTCTCTTTTGCGGCTCCGGCGCGCCTTGAATTTGCGGCTCGATGGACGCGTGCCGAAGCGACGATCGGTGGCACGATCTGCCGATCGTCGTTCCAGGACCCTTGCGTCGCTCGCCGGTCGTCGATCGAAGCGCATCTCTCGTGTCGACGCGAGATCTCGCGATTCCGAGATCGGGCGATTCCTTTCTTTCGTTCACTCTCTCTCTCTC